TCGAAGGGATGTTAACACTTCAGGAAACAATTTTAAATTTCCTCAGATATACGAAGAGTTACTACTATATGGCTTAGCATACAACTAGGAAATGTGTGTGTCACTATCATATGAGGATATTCGTAACAGCATTTTCATAATAGACCAAAGCAAAAACAACCTAAATGTTCATCAGCCAGTGAGTTGATAAAGAGTCACACGATGGAATACTGTTCAGCAGCAGAGACATGAAATACCGAGAGACATAGCATCACCAGTGAACCACAATAGGCAAAAGGACAGACACACAGTATACAGATGAATGGGGGAGAGGAAGAACTAGGAATGGAGAGAGAGAATGGCACGTAATAAGTATGGGCTTCTTACTGGAGTGATGAAAGTATTCTAAAATAGGTAATTATATATATATATATCATTAATGTATATATGTATGTATGTATGTAAATCCCTGTAGATACATTAAACTAGTAGAGTAAATGTAAATTTTATGATATATGAACTACATCTTAATAATGCTATCAAAATCCTCAGCTGCTAATACTCCAAACATGAAGCATTAGGGAGTTCATCTGCAACTCCATTTGGGAGAGCTCTGGCCTGTGGATGCCCCTCAAGAATTAGATGCTGTTTTAAAAGAGATATATCTTCAAATATTCTAGTATCACTTAAGACTGGGATACTTTCTTCCAAGACCATGTTCTCAGCTTCCAAAACTCTTAGCATTAGGTCAGGCCTAAGATTCTCCTTTCATTGACTACAAACCCAGGCTTACACCTAAAACCAGCTAGTGATGCCTTGGAGTTCAGATGCAGTCATCTTCCACAAACCCACCTTCCTAAATTCTCCTAATGGAAAAGCATTGTTGTAAAATATCAGAACTCTTCCATTTTGCTACCCATCTTCATGTGGTAACTTATCAGAGATCCCCAGTTGCTTTTTTCTGGACTTTTTTATAACCTCAATGATGTGTAAATTGCAGGCACTATACACTAAAGGAAAACCTACTACTGTTATTTTAATAACAGGACATATCATCAAAATGCCTTCTAAATAATACCCTTACACATACTGCAACCCTCACCCCTTATCAGAGAAGCTTCTTACTAAAGTGACCAGAAGTTAACATAGACACTCTGAACTAGCCAAAGCACAGAGAGGAAATGGGGTTACTGGTAACTCTGTGTGTGTGTTTGTACATAGTACAGAATGTGTTGCATAAGGTTCACTCACAGTTCTTTTTTTTTTTATTTACCCCCCAGTTGGTACCCAGTGCCACCCCATCCCTGACTTCAGCCATGCCCATCAATCCTGTAACACTCACTCATCACCTCACAGCTTTCACCATCTGACACACAGAGGTACCCAATGCTACATCATGAAGAGATGCCTGTTTACCCACTTTACTGTGTCTACACATAAAGACTAATCAGCACATCACAGTGCATAGCTCCGTCCACTTCCAAACCATTCAAACTTCTGACCCTAATTTCCTCATTGAAGAATGTGAAACGGACTATGTACACATGTGCTTGATATGTATAAGTTATTTTTTCAACACGGGCCTGACATACAACACAAATGTCTAAAATTTAAAACCAGGTACATGAAATAGCTTTTCTTTTCTTATGGGTAAAAACAATCCATAATTTCCAGAACCTCTTAGAGATACATGAAATATTTTTGCTCTCACTATGGGGCCAGTGGCAGTCTCAGTATTTTTACCATTCCTGTTCGCTCTTCCCAGATTGCAGTTAACTGAAGATGAAGAATGGCCACTGAGCTTTTCCATAGAGCTGATGAGAATTCTCGTCCAGCAGTTTCATCCCAAACAGCTCTGGCCCTTACGTCTTCTTGTCAGTCCTATCTTATCCCCACCCTTTCCTTATCTTCTCTCTCTCCTTTCCTTTCACACTCACTCTCCCAGTTTAAATACCTCCCAGTCACTATAATATGCAATCATTTTCCTCCTAGCGCAAGTCCCCAAACACTGTAAACCAGCACAGCACACCCCGCCTGAACTAGATCACCTCCTTACCACCCTCAGTTGCTTCCTTCCTGGGCAGTGCTCCTCACACATTTCCATCCTCTTCCTATGATAAGACCCATCTCTTGGCATCCTTCCTCAAAGAGCTTTCTGAGTCCAAACTTCACTTTTCATGTGGATACAGAGCATATTTGGGAACCAATTTGGGGGCCTGCTTCAAACTAGTACCTAGAGATAAATATGCATGAGTGAAACGGAAGACCTTACCAGCAGTTCTAGCTATAGTCAGAAAGGAACATTCAAACCTGGTCAAGGATTTTTGCATGTTAAGCCACATACAGTATAGCCTATGGGATGATGTTATTGATCACCAAGTTTACCAACTATTCTTTAGTTTGATATGTTTTATCTATATAAATGAACCAATGTCTCACAAAGTGTTTGCTGAAATTTCTGCTTTCTGCTGTTTAAAAATAGGATGAAGGAGGGTTCAGTTTAACACTGAACCAGTACAGTTAAACAATCTTGCCTAAGTATTATTGTATCTCCTTCATCACGCTGTCTTATACCAGGCGTGATGACCTGCACAGTACAGAGCATCCCACCTGATAATTATACTTCAAGAACCAAAGATTAAACTGTATATGCAAATGCGACATTAAACAGGTATACCTGAACGTGGGTGAAACTCTTTTTAAGTCCTCCTTTCATCCAAGGAGGATTTCATTTTTATAGTGCTCTGTCTTTACTGTAGGTTCTAAAAGGAGAATTGAGGCTTCCCTTGAACTCACAGGAATCTCTGCCTCTGCTTCCTGGGTGCTGGGATTAAAGGCATCTTAGTCAGTGTTCTATTGCTATGCAGAGACACCATGACCACAGCAACATTTAATTGGGACTGGCTTTCAGAGGTTTAGTCCATTAGCATCATGGTGGGGAGCATAGTGGCATGTGGGCAGGCACTGGAGAAGTAACTGAGAGCTACATCCTGATCCACGGGGGGAATAGAGGGGGAGGCAGGCCCTGGCATGGGCTTTTGAAACCTCAAAGCCCACTCCTAGTGACACACTTCCTCCAATAAGGCCACACCCACTCTAACAAGCCACACTTCTTAATCCTTCTAATCCTTTCAAACAGTTCCACTCCCTGGTGACAAAGCATTCAAATACATGCGTCTACAGAGAACATTCTTATTCAAACCACCACAAAAGGCACATGCACCGGAGCCTGACTAAAAGGAAGAAAAGAAATTCATACACTTGATTTTGACCATAGTCTTTCCCTTACCCCAACTCTTCCCAATCCTTCCTACCTCCTTACCCTCTCAAATAAATAAATAAAAACAAAAGAAAATTTAAACAAATCAATAATACAAAAATATAAAACTGAAATAAAAAAAAACCACCAGAAGGAAAGAGGAAGGAAGGAAGGAAGGAAGGAAGGAAGGAAGGAAGGAAGGGGCCATTTTGTGTTAGCCATCTACTCCTGAACTCCTGAACATGGGGGCCTGCCCAGGTGTGTGGTTGACACACACAGTGTCACTCAATTAAGTTATCTCCCTCTCCCAGCAGGTATCAATTGCAAATAGCTTCTTGGTTACTGATAGGACTTTGTGTCCATTCCCCTCAGTGCTAGGATTTTCTCTGGTTCGAACCTATGCAGGTCTCTGTGCAGCTATCCCAGTCCCTGTGTGGTTGTATGTGTATCAGTCTTGTTGTGTCTGAAGATGCTATAAAACTAAATGTTTTGTATGCTTGGAGTGCTGAGCCTCTGCTTCACAATGCAGTAAAAGCTATCCATTAACATTATCCAGCAGAGTTAAGATATTGAGCTCTGCAGACTTGTTCTATTTTTGTCATTATAAAAATAATAATTTCTGCAGGTCAATAAAGCTGCCAGAAATGAGTAGCTCCAGTATAAATGACTACAATTTGAAACACGGTGCTGACCAGTCTCTTAGATTTTTTTTTAAAGCTTACCTTTTTATTAGGGGCCCAAGGCAGGGGAGAGATAGAAAAAGCCTGCACTACACAACTTACAACATCATGTGATGATCAAATGTATACCATCAGCCCTCAATTTATCCTTTCTTCAAATAAAAACTAATCAATATTTTGAAGAACATATTGTAACGCCACTGCATTAGAGGTTTTCATGTGATCTTTGCAGAAATTATTTTCACCAATCTCACATAAAGCTTAGCTAAATTCCTAAACACTTTTTGCCAGGTCTGAATTGTAGTAGCAGGAATACGTAATTTAATGGCATGACCTACATTAAAGGAAGAGTCATCATCATTTCTAGTGCAGACTTTCAAGGCCTTGTATTAGCTGGTGCTATACCCAGTTACCTCCATCAGCAGGCGCTCTCTCGGGTGACTTCTAGAGACCTTGAGTCTTGCCACCACAGCATACCGCGTGCCCGATTCTTCTATTGGCTGGCTGTGCTCCCTCTTCAGTACTTCAAGTTTGTCGTTATACTTGTTGGCCAATCCCTTGTGCCAGGATCACAATAAGTTTGACTGAAATCTGAAATAATTAAATACATTAGCTTGATGAAACCTCACTGTGCTATAGATATTCAATTTGTAAATGGAGAAACTGTGACTCACAGAAGTTAACAAACTTGTCTGAAATCATATAACCTACAAAGAATGGTCAGAACCATAGGTGCTTGCTTTATTCCAGAGCCTACTACACTCACTGTTATTTATCTAAAAAATTCTTTGTAACAGGAACTTCATTAAATCCCTAATTTCGGTCTTTCGGGAATACTTTGAGAAAAGTATTAAAACACTGCTAATTAACTTTTGAAGGAAATAAGACTTTTAAATATAGTGTCAGGGCTAGGGACAGGCCTCAGTCAAGTGCTTACACTGCCCATTGAAACTTGAGCTTCAGTCCCCAGTAGTCACATAAAAAGCCACGCGTGGAAGTGCACATCTGTAACTACAGCACTGGAGGGTGGAGGTGCGCATCTGTAACTGCAGCACTGGAGGGTGGAGGTGCACATCTGTAACTGCAGCATTGGAGGGTGGAGGTGCACATCTGTAACTGTATCATTGGAGGGTGGAGGTGCACATCTGTAACTGCAGCACTGGAGGGTGGAGGTGTGCATCTGTAACTGCAGCACTGGAGGGTGGAGGTGTGCATCTGTAACTGCAGCACTGGAGGGTGGAGGTGCGCATCTGTAACTGTATCATTGGAGGGTGGAGGTGCACATCTGTAACTGTATCATTGGAGGGTGGAGGTGCACATCTGTAACTGTATCATTGGAGGGTGGAGGTGCGCATCTGTAACTGCAGCACTGGAAGGTGGAGGTGCGCATCTGTTACTGCAGCACTGGAGGGTGGAGATGGGAAGATCCGTGGACCTCTGACTTGATCAGCTAACTCCCTGCCTCAAAAAATAAAGTCAAGAGCAACTGAGGAAGTTACCCAATGTTGACCTCTAGCCACTACACACACACACACACACACACACACACACACACACATACTATGGTAGCCTTTCTCTCTTAACAATTAAGGGAGTTTTCCTGAAGAAGTCATCATGCTCAGAAGACACCTATTCCAATAGCACACATGCTATTTAAATTCTCTCTTTATCATTCTCCCGACCATTTAATGTGGTAAAGGAATATGAGATTTGTTTTTCCAAGTGACATCTGTCCCTATACAGCACAAGCAAACAAGCAATAAGGACAGGACATAGATGAATTCTAATAAGGCTGAATGTTCTTTGGGGCTTCTGGTTTGAGTCTGAAGTCAGTATTTATCGGATGTGTTGTGCAAGTCACCAGGAAATAAATCCATGGAAAAACCCAGTCCTTAGTTATGAGGAACCAAGCTTCTCCTCTTGTTCAGCTCAGAATGAAATTCAGTGCCCTGGGCTGGAACTTAAGTAACTGGGAGCAGAAACAGGTTCATCATGTGTAATCTCCACAGGCAGATAATGCCGGATACTCTGTGTGATGTCCTCTAAGTGGAGCCCAGAGCCGCTTGCCCAGCCAGCCATTAGTTAGAGTGCCGGGCAAAGGAAGGGAAGTGGAGACTGAGAGCAGACCAGGGAGAGCTCATGATCGTTTCTCAGTGCCCTGATGGGGTAGTCCGCCTCTTCTCTACCCATCATATGCGTCTATGCCTTGTTCCCTAAGAAATGCATCGGCACACCTCACTTCCCCAGGAAAATCACGCGCCCTTGCCTTCCAAACTGAGAACTGAAATAGTTCTTCCTAAAATGCAAGTTCTGATATCCCTAAACAAAGATTTTGTACAAGCTAAGCTAAAATCTCCCAAGGATCTCGATTTAAGATAGAAGTTGTTCAAACATATTCTGAGCCTGTGGCGTTTGAGGACTCATCTGGGCCCAAATAGAAGCTGACATCATCTTCTATGCCTGTGTTTCAGCTTTCCTATCCAAAACTTAAGATTTCAAAGCAGTAATAAAGTAAAACTCAGATTTAAGCTTGCATTCATTTGGACTCTGTATATTTCACCCTTTCTGGGTCTATGTTAATGAGCAAATTGTAGGTTGGTGTGAAAATGCTGTGTCTCATTTTTGCATCGTCTTTTCGTGTGTGCTATAAGCCATGGAGACCTCAGTGTCCGATTCAAACTGTCTTGTAGCTCCTAGTTGGATTCAGCACTTAAGATAGATGAACCAGCATCTCTTGAAATGAAAGATCTCAGTGGTGACAACTTCCAGTGGGGGAGGGTCAGACATCCACTGAAGTCATCAAGGAACAACTTTCTGAAGACCCTGGAGTCCAAGGAGAAAGAAAGACATACAAGTGTGGGAAGAACCAATTAAACCTGAGAAGACCTTTCTGCAAGTGTCAAATGCTAAAGCAGATGTCCCAGACAGCCTACCTCTTGCAAGATTTTTTAAATAAGACCTGGGACACAGATTTACAGACCTGTTTCAAGGTAAAGGAACAGACATGGTAATCTCCCATGGGATGATTCATCAAAAAGGTGTTTAAAAAGCAAAGCATGGGAGGGAAGGAGCTGTCTCATCGATCTAAATCAAGCTTGTGTGCACTATCTTTCTCTCCCTTTCCTGCCTCCTAGTTCCCCCACTGCATTTTCAAAAGACCTATCACATACTGTCTCCAATTACTTTGACAAACAATAACGGGCACTGGGGTTTTACTTTCTTTTAAAGTCATCCATTTTTTGACAGTGAAAAATCGAGGAAAGAGTTTCCTGAAGCTGCATGGCTACAGTGATAGATTCACAGAGTAGTGACTTTAGCAGAGTGGGTTTTCATAGATCAGCCTCTGGCTATCTTGCTTGGGCAAGTGCCCACAGGCAACAGTCCTCAGTGGACAGTGAGATAAATATAATAAAGACAAAAGTCACATCATCTGGACGTTCTACCAGGTAATAGTTTGCTCTAAAAAAAACAAAAAACTATATTTTAATAACAATCATTAACACACATATAAATTCAGTCCAGAATGTAGAGTTTCACATTATAATGTTCTGGCATACAAATTCTTAACAAAAATGAGCTTCTGATATCATAGCTGCATTACTTTAAGTCCTCATGTTCTGGCACCAACTTACAATTATCCACAACAAAGCAGGTGCTGAGTTCAACAATAACAAATAGAATCTTTAAGTTACATTAGGCACATTAGGTAGACATTAGACATAATTATATGGGAAAATCCATTAGTATTATAAGTAGAAAAGGCAAATATAAAATTGCATTAATAAATCTATATATAATTGCACAATAGTGAGGTGTTAGAAGCATTGGTATACAGTTATGTGTAATAATTTGGGACTCTATGAAATAAGAGTAAGTATCTTTGAATGCCAAGATTATCTTCTTTGGGGTTCCATTTTAACATGCATATAAGGAAATGCACACACACATGGAAATGTATAACAAATGATATAAGAAACCAATATTTTTTCAAATTCCAACCCAGTATATCCTGGTTTCCAAAGAGATTCACTGTGAGTCATCAGAAAGGGGGGCTCCACCCACCCTGCCTCTCCTCCTTTTCCTTCAAACTTTCCAAGAGCCCTGTCAGCAGCACACACATTAACTAGGTCTCCATTCTAAATACTGACTCGCAAAGAAAACTTCAGTGATGGCGTTTCTCAACAATGGAATGAATCAAAATAAGGAGCTATAATCTGTCAGTGTCGCAGAAAATGTACTGTTAAAGATATCAATAATCTTGATAAACATCACACATCACATTGATCAAAAATACTTTCTTGACACCTGGATTATTCCAAGAACTTGTATTTTTAATGCTAGCTGAACTGAAAAATGGGACCAAATGATGGATCCCTTTTCCTGGCCATCACAGGAAGCTGTATTGGCTGGCACATTTGCCACGTTACAGCAACCTCTGGATGTCTGGCTGCATATGAACTCCACCCTGGGGAGAGTAGGGTGGTTGGGAAGCTGCCAAACTACCCATTCATTTCTACAAGACTCTTGACCTGCTGCTGACAGCTACGGAGATTTGCTTCCACAGCAGGTCGACCAGAAGCTCAGGGGATGTAATGTCCCAGTACTTACTGTGTCATTCTCTAAATCACAGCTTCCTGGTGTGACAAGCTTCCCGATGTGACAAGCATCCTTTCCTGGACCAGAAAAGAATGTCTTGAGGCTAAAAGGAAACATATAATCTCCTTCTGAGTGAATATGGAACAAAAGATCATTAAACACTGCACAAAGAAAAACTGTTTCACACTTAATTTCATTCAAAAATATATAGAACTTATTTTTAAGCACCTCCATGCCTTTTGAATGGCCAAGTCGAGTCTCTTTTATAAATGCCAGCTTTGAATAGCTTAGGAAATTTTAGAAAATCATTTCTAGAGCTAGGAATATGGCTCAGTTGATTAAAGTGTATACTGCACAAGTGTGAGGACCTGAGTTCAATTCCCAGGACCCAAGTAAAAAAGCCAGCTGTGGTAGTATACACTTGTGACTTCAGCCCTGGGGAAAAGGGGATGTCACTGGCCAGATGGACAGACAGACTCATCAGGAAGCTGCATGTGTCAGAGCAAGATGCTCCGCCAATAAACAAGGATCACTGATGCGGAGCAGCTGTACCCAAGGCTGACCATTAACTTCCACACACATATGCCCACACATTCGCACACATGTCACTTCTACAAAACCTACAGTTTTCAGAAAACAGAGAAAGGGTAGCCCAATTCATATAAGGCCTACATTTCCTATTCCCTTTATATATATGGAGTGTGACTACAGAAAGTTCATAGAAAAACAAAAAAAGGAGAGGTATCTTTGGAGTCAAGCAGACTAGTTCAAACTGCCCAAACGTGCTCTCTACACACTTGAAGATGTCCCATAACCTCTCTGCATGAATTTCCTTATGAGTAATATGGAGACTGTAAGACTTCTGCATGGGTTATAGGCCAGATGGAATGAAATCCACTACATGAAAACACCCAACATTAGTAAGTATGCCATGGACCCTGGCCCTTTCTCTTCTTTCTTCTTCTATACCGTGGGGCTAGTCTACAATGCACATTAACTAATGAATTTGGTTGCTGACATCTCCTCCCACCTGTTCAAATACAAAGACATCCACAGAAGAAAAATTAAAGCTGAAAGCATGTGCCATGCATAAAATGTTTTTAAAGAGTAGACCTGCAGTCCATGAGCTCCCCCTTGTTCCTGTCAGCTGTTTTTGTGGTTTCTCCAGCCTGGCTTGACTCATTTACTCATCACTCCTCCCTCTCTGCAACTGGATTCCAGGAGTTCAGCTCAGTGTTTAGCTATGGGTGTCTGCTTCCATCAGCTTCCATCAGCTACTGGATGAAGGCACTAGGATGGTATATAAGGTAGTCATCAATCTCATTATCAGAGGAGGGCATTTAAAGGTAGCCTCTCAACTATTGCTTAGATTGTTAATTGGGGTCAACCTAGTAGATCTCTGGACATTTCCCTAGTGCCAAATTTCTCTTTAAACCTATAATAGCTCCCTCTATTATGATATCTCTTTTCTTGCTGTCCTCTATTCTTCCCCTGACTCAATCTTCCTGATCTCTCCTGTCTTCCTCTCCCCTCCTCTTCTCCACTTCTCTTTCTTCTAACTCCTTCTCCCATCCACCCATGCTCCCAATTAGCTCAGAAGATCTTGTCCCTTTCCCCTTCTTCAGGGGGACAATGTATGTCTGTCTTAGGGTCCTCCTTGTTTCCTAGCTTCTCTGGCAGTATGGATCATAGGCTGGTAATCCTTTGCTCTATGTCTAAAATTTACAGATGAGTGAGTGCATACCATGTTTGTGTTTTTGTGACTGGGTTACTTCACTCAGGATGGTTTCTTCTAGTTCCATCCATTTGCCTGCAAATTTCAAGATTCCATTGTTTTTTTCTGCTGAATAGTACTCCATTGTGTAAATGTACCACATTTTCTCCATCCATTCTTCAGTTGAGGGGCATCTAGACTGCTTCCAGGTTCTGGCTATTACAAATAATGCTGCTATGACTGATAGCTTGGAAACCAGAATAGGACTGTTCCAGACCTCCTGAACTCGGATGTCAATTTGGAGGTCTGGTTAATCTATGGGGCCTCTGGTAGTGGATCAGTATTTATTCCTAGTATATCCCACTCCACATAAAGGGATACTCTCCAAACCGAGACACACAGGGGAGGGTCTAGGCCCTGCTCCAAATGATATGACAGACTTTGAAGATCCCCCATGGAAGGCCTCACCCTCCCTGGGGAGCAGAAAGGAGATAGGATAGGGGGCCGGTGGGGAGCAGTGGAGGGAACTGGGATTGACATGTAATACAAGCTTGTTTCTAATTTAGATTTTTAAAAAGAGACAAAAGAAAGGAGTAGACCTGCAAAACGGAATGGATTTACTTGCCTTTCGTAACAGACGATTCATTTTAGCATAATTATACTAAAACTCAGCTAGTTTACTTCTTACATTTTCTAGAGATCCCACACATCCTTCCCATCAATTTCCTTCCTTCTCGGTGTTAGAGTTGGGCTATGTTCTCTGAAAGGTTTGTGACAAGCTATAGCTAATAAGTTTTTCATGGTGTCAAAAGTAATAATATTAACGCGCCGTTGTGAGTTAAATTAATTTTGTTTTGTGCACTGGCTTGCATAAACGTGAATGACATTTCGAAATATGATCAGGCAGGAGCTGGAGGGAGCCGAATGGCAAAGGAAAATGAGACGCAGCCATCAAAGCAGAGCAGTCAGCTGCCAGTGTTCATGAGCACAAGCAGGGAGGTGCGATGTACTGTGACAGCAATGTAAGAGCACTTTGTGGGAGGGTATTTGCCCTTCAAAAAGAAAATCCCGATTTTGTTCGGAGAGAAACAAGAGGTGTTTGACGTCCTAACTCAATGTTTGAAAAGGAAAGACCATTATCTTGCTAATCTCCATTCTTGGTGTCTTTCAATACAGACTTTTTTACCCCTTTTACTCTGTTTGCAAGGGGGTACTGACTATTAATAGCTTTGTTGATGTTGTTGGTTTTAGTTTGATTTTAGTGTTCAAAATTACATTACTTCAGAAGTACTGTGACTATACCACCAAAGTTTTTAGTGTGTGTGAAGTTTGTCTGTTTTTATAAAATTAGAAGTACTGTATTCCAAGTTACACAAAGGAAGAGTGAAGAGATTCCCTCAAAAGTTCCATCTCATCAGCCAGACTCCAAAACCTGTCATCCGGGTAACTTAAAACCACCGAAGCCCGTGCCCTCTGTCTTCCCAGCCACCATCCCACACTGCCTTCATTGGCCCAGTACCTTCCACAGTTGACTATACAAAAATGAAACATAAAAGGCAAGGAGGTAGTTTCTCCATAGAAGGTTTCAGTAATTCAATGTTTCCATTCATCAAGCCTCCATCTGGAGCTCATGCCTTGCTGGACATAAGATGAAGATCAATCAGACACCGTATCTGGATCCTGGGAGTTTAGAGACAGCAAAGAAGACTTGATGTTGTGTAGAAGTGGGAAACTGAGCAGAAGAAATGATCAAAATGTGAACTGAAGTATGTTATAAAAGATGGTAGACTTCAACGTGTTGAGATTTTCAAAAAGAACAATCAGGTTGAGCACTGGGAACCTTTAGAGGCTGAAAAGATGTGCAGATCAGATTAGGAGAAATGAGAGGAATGAAAGGCAAGGATAAGCCTGAGAAATAAGCAAGGGTCTTCAGGAAGAGAGGTGGTGTGTTATCACCATAGTGAGGAAGGAGCCGGTGGCCACATCAGATGTGTGCTGAGACTAAGCCCTTGGTGATACAGATGTGTTAGAGGCTGTACCTGCTTGAGGAAGTTGTTTCAGGGTCTATGAAACTAAATAGCCATGGAGATAAAAATAATTTTTAAAAGAGCTAAGTTAATAGAATCTTCTTAATGATAAAAGGGTTAGGAATAGAGAACTATAGAAAGTGATTTAAATCTTAATTTGGTTGGTAGGCAAATGTGCATATAAAGCAATAAATGAAATTATAGAAAGATATACAAATATTAAAGGAAACATAAGTTCTGTCATGGCCATTGATTAAAATAATTCATTTATTTTTTAGATCACATTAATATTTCATTTTCCCAGTTTAATTCAATGTTTGATATTAAGTACTTGCTATTCTTCTAAATACTACTTACAAATACAATCACTTGATGGCATTTCAACTTTTTGATTCTGGTATCACATTGCCAGTCAAACGACTTTCCTAAACTTGCTCATCAAGCAAGCCAAAGGCAAAATTCCTTCTTTGATAAAGAATCCTGATTGTCCCCCTTGCATCTTAGGCTGGTATATCTTCAATTTCCCCTGGGAATTTTGTGTTTTTCCTTTCCACACATCCCATTAAGCAGCCATGTGTAATAACCTGCAGCCAGGTTTCTGTTGATCCAAACCCAGCATCGCCGAGAGTGCCAGCAGAGTTTAGATACAAAACTAGGATTTATCAAAAGGTGGGACTTAGTTGGCTTCAGCTCTGGAAGACCTGCCTTGTGAGGGACCTGGCTCATCCCTGAAGGAGAAGGACGGCCTTGGAGAGGGTTCATACAAGGTGACATACACAAGTCCATGCAGTTATGGCTCAAGGCCCACTCCTTGCTTCCCGTGTTCTTCCTTAAGTCTAGCAGGACTCTTCTAGGAAGAAGAGTCACTCAGGTTGCAAGTCTGTGCACACAGGATTCGAAAGCCACTCTAATTAAATCAATGGAAGTGCATCATCTTTGTGTGAGGAGATGTACCAAGGGTGGAGTAAGTAATGTGAAATGATGACCATTTTTTTTAACTTTTTGTCAGCTGCATGAGGATAGAGAAGTCATGGACTCAAAATAATAATAAACTAGTGCACAAATGTTCTAAGAGCTTTCTCTATCTTCTCTCATTCCATCCTTACAACAACCAGTTTAAATCAGCAGCTATCGTCTCCATTTTTAGACAGCAGCAAACTGAGGGAAAAGACAGAAAATCTCTTCAAGGTCACTCAACATGTAAGGGGCAAACCAGGTTTCTAAATTTCTAATTTACGATTTGAATACCTCTGTCTCATCTTTTCTATTGCAGAAAACTTGCCTTACCTATTCTATCTTATTTGACCTTATTAAATCCCTACAAGGAAAGAGGAATAGATTTTCCCATCCCTTCTGAGTCAT